TATAATTATTTTTGGGGTCTGGACTATCACAACATAGAAAGCAGAGAAATGCTGAATGCTGAGTCGATGCGACGAGCGTAAAATCACTCAATCTAACATTAGGGAGTCTGGATGCTCTAAACAGGAAATAGCGCGTTTGTTGCTTAACTGTAATTTATAATCAAGACCGACTTGTTTCACACTGATGGATAAGCTTCATGTTTATCTTGTGATGTTGCTGAATACGGCTGCACAGCAATTAAATCTGAGCCTAAACAGGAAAACCTGTTTGCTTATCAATCAGACGATGTCACATAAAATGATCCTGTTGCGTACGGACAAATCAGAACCAATCAGAACCAGCTAGCTCCACATGTCACATGCAGGAGGATAACTTGCAGTGATGATAATAATGATAATAAAGTGTAATAAGGTCTTTTTTTCCTGTTTGTAAAAGGAGAGAGTATAATTTTAGTTGTTGCTGTATGAAAACAATAAAGATTACTCTATTCTACTCTATTGTGGGCTAACGGTGAGCCAGACAGACAATACTGGATTATATGTGAGATCAGATGTTCACAGCTCACCAGAGTGGAGGATTTTCACCACTATTACCACTCGTGATCTTTGAGGTGTGTTTTGCTACGTGTGAGCTGCTTCAGTGTGATTATCTTTTGTTTTGTTTCCACTTTATGAAAATGAATCCACCACAGAAGTCCTCTACAGTCTAAATCAGCCCCACCTTTCCTCCACCCCGCATACCTGGAACTCCTGCCCCGGGCACATTCCACCACACACGCGTGATCCCCGGGAACTCCCCTGAAACCGAAAGTAAACCACGTCACAGTGGTCGTGGCGTGACGAAGCACCGCTATGAGAGCTGTCGGTGTTTTGCTGTGCTTTTCTGTGTTTGCGGGAGTCTGCATGGAGGATAAAGAAGCCCCACGGTAAGAAACCCACTCTTATCCTCTTTGTGCGCGCGCGCGAAGACCGGCGTAACTAAAAAGTTCAAAGGTGAGAAAGCCGACAGGAAAACGCTCTAGCTAACCGGCCCACGGCAGCACACACAGCCGCCCACAGACTGGCCTGTCGTGTCTGTCTGTGCAGGAGCCTCCTGACACACAGAGTGGGTACAGACCGCGGTGCAGTGATTTGTGCCGTCCGCAGCTCCCTGTGCGGCCTTCACGCCGCGGATACAATCAGCTCCCCGTGACACACGCGAAAACCCGAAACACAGACACGTCTCTGAGCCCACGAGACATCCCTGACGGAGGAGGAGCCCTTCATGTGGGGAGGCGTCATTGATGGATGGATGTAGCAGGGAGTTAGCAATGCTAGCAGCTTGTGCGGTTTGGCTGTTTCTAATAAAGGTTTTACAAACGGTTGCTGTGGCTTCAGTAGTGACGTGAGGCTGTGATGAGCAAACACTCTTACAAGTCCTGGTGAGACAGGTTGTTCGTGTTTGTGGTATGTGTGGCATGTGTGGGTAAGGGGGCGTGGCGTTAGGTGATAACAGATGTTTCTGCTGTACGTCCCTGCTCGTGATGATACCAGCTCTGAGGTATCAGACTGTTTAAAGTACACTTTGTTAGACACAGCGGTGTGTCTTTGTGTCTTTGTGTTGTGAGTTTGTCCTGGATTCATGATGACTGGAGCTCCGCCTTTGTGCTTTTAGGTCATTCCAGTGTCTCCGGCTCGGTGTTTCCTGTCTCTTTGTCCTCAGCGTCTCCTGTGGAGGTCCGTCCACTCTCTGTCCCCATGTGTCCCCTCTCGCTCTGCGCTTCGTCTCTGTGGTTGTTCGCCTTGTCCAGTGTCAGGTTTATATGCCTGAAGTCTCTGAGCTGTGTTTCCTGTTTTATTTTGAAAGTCCCTGGTCCAGTATGTTATGTTACCTTGTTGTGGTGTCTTCCCTGTGTGCTGTGTGCTCTCTGATCCTAGCCACAGTACTTCTTACTTTGTGTTCGCTTCCTAAATTCCTCAGTTTGTTAGTTTTGTGTCCAGAGTCCTCGTGTCCTCGCAGCCGGCTCAGGACAGCCAGTTCTTCCCAGGAGAGGCAAAGGGACCCAGCAGCCTATTATAGCCCCTCTGCTGCAATGGGCTGTCGTAAAGGTATAATGTGTGGTTAATACTGCAGTCTGCTGTTACACGTGTTACCATTTAAAATCTGCTGTATGTAAAGTACCGGCACCCCTCAGCTTCCCAGTAGATGCATCTATCGTACAAATGGCAAAATCCTAAGGTGACCTCTGACCTTGGGATGGTCAGTGATGGTCCCTGATATTCAAACTGATCCAAGATGAAGCTGCACCATG